GGAGGTCGTCAACCACACGAGACAGGAAACAGCGGCCACGGTCCGTGAGTAGGTGAAAAGGAGTGCCATGCTGAAGGATGATGTAATAGAGTGGGAAATCTGCGACGTCTGTCAAGCAGCTGGTCGGTAGAACTCGAGTGGCATAATACCGAGTGGCATAATACTTAGTGACACAATCCGTAGCTACTGCTATTCATTTGTTTCCCGTTGCCGATGTTGATTTGATTGATTGATATGTGGGGTTTAATGTCCCAAAACCGACATATGATTCTGAGAGACGCTGTAGTGGAGGGCTCCGGAAATTTCGACCTCCTGGGGTTCTTTAACGTGCGCCCAAATCTGAGCACACGGGCCTACAACATTTCCGCCTCCATCGGAAATTAAGCCGCCGCAGCCGGGATTTGATCCCGCGACCTGCGGGTCAGCAGCCGAGTACCTTAGCCACTAGACCACCGCGGCAGGGCCCGTTGCTGATGTTGGGAAGGGACATAACAAATCCAAACCCATCCAATGAAACGACTCGGCTGGAACTTAAATAGGTTGAAGGTGACCAGCAGGGAGAGACGTAGGCTTTTTCCGACGCTGGCACAGCTCACACGCTGCAACGTAGCAGCGAACGGAACAATAAAGGCCCTTCCAGAATACCAGTCAGCGGACGCGGTCGTAGGTTCTGGAGACACCCAAATCTCTGGAAGTTGGGGTGTTGTGAAGTTCTTGCAAGATGTCCTTGCGCAGATGACGTGGGACGACGAGAAAAAGTACCGTCCCATGAGGCTGTAAGTTGCGGCGGTACAAAACGTTGTCTTGAAGTAAAAGCAGGCTCAGTGAAAGGTCTTTATGGTCGGATTGAACAAGGTCAATCATCAATAGCAGCGATCGATCTCGGCGTTGTACATCGGCTATGTGCAGAAAATGTGTCATGTCTGTGATGTTAGCTTCAGCTTCCAACCTAGGGGAGGTTTGTGGATCAACAGGGTGTCTATATAAGCAGTCGACATCGCTGTGAAGCTTGCGAGACTTGTACAGCACAGAGAACTTGTACTCCTGCAATTGCAATGCCCATCGCCTGAGTCTACCTGTAGGATATTTAAGGGTTGACAGCCAGCAGAGTGCATTGTAACAATACTGACTGTTGGCCTTGTTGGTACTTGCTTACTGGCATGCTTTGGCCACAAAATCACACACACAAAGTAAAGAAACAGTAAACGACAAGCACAAGCCGCTTGTGCTTGTCGTTTAGTGTTTCTTTACTTAATGTGTGTTATTTTGCGGCCAAAGCGTGTCAGTAAGCAGAGTGCATGGTGGTCTGTGATAACTGCGAACGTGCAATCATATAGGTACGGACGGAATTTCGTGATAGCCCAGACGAGAGCCAAGCACTTTCGCTCACTGATTGGATAGTTCCTTTTCGACTGAGAAAGTAGGTGGCACAGCGTTCGCTGTGACACAGTTTGTGGTGTTCTGCATTAATGCGAGTATTGCCCCTATGCCATGGCCACTTGCCTCGTTGCGAAGCTCCATTTGAAGGCTGAGTCATATTGAGCCAACACAGGTGGTGATGTGAGCGCAGATATCAACAACACACAGGATTATTTTTGGTCTTCACGCCAGAAAAAAGTCACGTTCTTTTAGAGGCATTCCGTGAGGGGCCGAGCAATTTCCGCGAAGTGTCTGACAAAACGGCGGAAATATGAACAGAGCCCCAAAAAGCTGCGGACGTTTTGCGTAGAAAGTGGGACCGAGAACTCACACACAGTGTGGACTTTATCAGGGCCAGGTCGTACACCAGTAGCGTCAACAAGGTGGCCAAGTAGCTTTATCTGACGGCGTCTAAAGGTGCACCTAGACACGTTAAGCTGGAGGCCAGCACAGCAAAAAACGTCAAGAATGGCAGACGGACGTGGAAGATGGCTTTCAAAGGTTGGCGAGAAAACGAGGACATCGTCCCGATAACACAGGCACATCGTCTATTTAAAACTGCGAAGGAGGGAGTCTATAATGCGTTCAAAAGTTGCTGGCGCAATGCCCAACCCACAAGGCATGACTGTAAATGGATAAAGCCTGTCGGGTGTGATGAATCCCGTCTTCTCGCGGTCGTGTTCATTGACTGAATTCGCCAATATCCAGGCCGTAGGTCAAGGGCAGAGAAATACTTGGTACCATGAAGGCAGTCAAGCGCATCATCAATTTTAGGTAGAAGATAGACCTCCTTCTTGGTTATTCGATTGAGATTGCGATAGTCGACGCAGAACCGCCAGCTGTTGTCCTTCTTTTTACCAAGCACGACAGGGGATGCCAATGGACTGTTTGAAGGCTCTATGACGTCTTTGTCGAGCATTTTCTCTACCTCCTTCTGGATTATTCGGCGTTCTGAATAAGATATATGATAAGCACGCTCATGAAGGGGACTAGCGCCGAAGGTTTGATACGGTGGGCTCCGATGCTCGTGCAGCCCTAGGAACGGTCGTCAATACTAAAAACATCGAAATAATAAAATAGAATACCACGGAGTGCTTCAACTTGGGATGGCGACAAGTCGTTTGATATATTTTGTCTAGGAAAGCTCTATTCTGTATGGCTCCGAGAGGTTCAGCTAGGGTCTTGATGTCAGGAGTGAGAGATGAAGTTGTACATTGCTCCAGAGATTAGAGTTCTACTAAGGCAATACCTTGAGGAATGGCCTGGCTGGACACAAAGAGGTTGAGGACAGGGAGAAGCATCTTGTTATCGCTAATGCTCGCTATAGTATGGAGAAGTATGATGTCCCGGGAAAGGGTCAAGTCAATGAGTGGAGCTGCCAAGTAGTCGCTATCAGTAACAGGTGGGAATGGCGACATAGAAAGGTACGCAGCGGCCAGAGGCGGTAATTGTAGACACTCCACGGACCGCAGTCGTGTGCGAGTTGCAGGAGGGACATTAGAGTACAAAGGCAACTCTAGCTGTAAGGTGCCGGTTGAACAATCGACGAGGGCTGAATGCGCCGTCAAGAAGTCAATGCCGAGAATCACATCGTGCGGGCAAGCGTCTAGAACAACGAAGAGGACTGAAGAGTGAAGGCCGGCCGCAGTGAAGCAGGCTGTGCTCATACCAAGAACTGATGTTCGGCTGTCATTGGCTGCTCGCACAGTCGACGACATGGCAGGGGTAAGAACTTTTTTCAGGCGGGATCGAAGACCTGAACTCATAACAGGTATGTGGGCACCCATGTATATTAAAGCTGTAACGGTCAGGCCATTGATGAGAACAAGTAAATTTCGTCTGGAATTTGTGGTTGGTAGAGGTTTTTCGGTGCGATTAGTCAATGTAGCGCCAACTCCAGGAGTTGTATCTGTTAGTTTCCTGAGAACTGCCCAGAATACGCGGGTGACGGGGAGTAATGGCGTTGAGAGAAGCGCGGCTCGCGACCCTGAGACGACGTCAAGCAGCTGGACCGGGTACTCTGGGCAACAACATCGGCGTAGGATGGTTTGGAGCGTATCGTAGAACGGCTAGTGTGAGGTCTTGAAGGGGGTCATCGGCAAAACGAGGTGGGGAATACTACCCACGATCTTGTCGGTGGACGTCTAGAAAACGTTGCTGGAACAACCATCTCTTGCGCTAGTGGCAGGAAATGTGGCCAACACGATGGCAAGAAACGCTAATCGGTCGATCATCTTGTGTGCGCCACTCAGATGGATTTCGGTAGTTCGATGAGAATCGCGGGACCAACGCGGCAGCTGCAACAAAAAGAGCAGCGTCGTAGTGAGCGTTATGAGCATTAGGATTTATGAGCTGGGGTCTGTGGCTGGAGTTTTGAGAACTAAGACGCCCATGTTGGCAAACTCTTGTCGCACAACACCCTGAGTAAGAGATATTGGAGCCAAGTTATCAGGCACAGGGGGTTGATAAACGGAAGGAGCCATGGCTTCCAGCTCCTGGCAGAGAATTCTTGTGGTGTTGGGAGAATTCCTAAATGGATGTGGCGCCACAGTATCCTCGCAGGAAGAAGTAGTTGCGGTGCTCTGGAGTCAGGAAAAGCGTTGAAAAATTTTCCTGCTTTTGGCTTGTTCGAACCGCCGAGATTCACTGACAATTGAGTCAATGGTGGTGCAGTTCTGGCAGATTAGAATGTTGAAGGCATCGTCTACTATGCCCTTCAACACAATGCTGACCTTGTCTAGTTCGGTCATGTCTTTGTCGGCCTTCCGGCACAAGGCGAGCACGTCTTGGATATAGGAGTCGTATGACAAGGTAGGAGATTGAAATCGTTAAGCGAGTTCCGGCCTGGCTGCCATTTGTCGAGCAACTGACCGGCCGAACAAGTCACGGAGTTTCTGCTTGCACACGTCCCAACTCGTGAGGTCTTCCTCGTGCGTCTCTTACCAGGCGCGTGCAGTTCCTCGCAGCTAATAGATGATGTTGGCCAGCATAAGCATCCCAGTCCACTAGTATTGCTTGCTGACGCGCTCGTTTAGGGCGAGCCAGTCGTCAACGTCAGTTGTGTCGGTGCCGTGATATGTACCTGGATAGAGATGATGGGAAGGGATCACAGGTGACAGAGCAGGCGTAGACTGAACGGATGGCACACTGCCTTCAGGCATCGTGGCTGGATGAAGCTGATGGCCGCTATGGAGATCCAGAGTCGGAATATTACCCAGCACTTCTACCAAAAATATGTAACGGAGAGTATTTAATAAGTTAACGCTGGTTAGTTCAACACTGCACACAGGGTGCAAGAATGCAGGGCAACAGGGCAGTCTAGACACACACACACACAAACACACAAACACCCACACACACACACACACACACATATATATATATATATATATATATATATATATATATATATATATTAGGGGAAAGAAGTGTATACCTAAGGGCTCGTTTTTCCGTGTTTTAACACAATAATAGTGAAATCTAACAGACAGTAATGCCAAGGAATGTACAGGGAAAGTTATTAGAACCAATGGAATGTAAATAGGAAGAAAGAAGAAAGAAAAGTGGATGAAAAAATAACCAGCCGTGAGCAGGAATCGAACCTACGACCATCGAATAGCGCGTTCGACGCTCTAACCACTGAGCTACCACAGTGGCCTTCCTTCCATCCACTTTTTTGAGTTTATATGTGAATTTAGAAGTAGGAGTGACAGTCAGCGCCATCTATAAGCCAAACAACGAGTGTGAAAACACTCTTATTCGCATGTTTGGCGTCACGTAGCACGTGAACTTATTATGAGCGGGCAGCTGATTAATTGTCCCTCTTATACAACCTAAACACACCAAGTCTGCCAGTACGAGAGCCTCGTTCAATCAAATAAGGTAAAGAAGTGTATACCTAAGGGCTCGTTTTTCCGTGTTTTAACACAATATTAATGAGATCTAACGGACAGTATTGCCAAGGAATGTACAGGGGAAGTTATTAGAAGCAATGGAATGTAAATAAGAAGAAAGCTGTTTGTTCTCTGACCAACTCTGCTTTCTTCTTGTCTCGTAAGGTTACACCTATCATTTAAGTACAACAGTGGTATTTTTATTACTAAGGTATCGGTGAGAAGAAAGTAAAGCGGGCGCAAAGGTATGCTGCCGCCGGCCATGGCCGAACCTAGATTCTTCAAATAACATGGCCGATGCTCTGCTAATTCATCTACAGCAACAGTAATACTTTCGTTGTCTTTATCAGATGTATGGGTGCATTTAAACCTGCAAGTATCAATCAGCGCCAGTTATCACCAAGATGGAGAACTTTGAACTACCCCCCCCCCCCTTTTTTTTAAATTCACGTAAACAGATCAGGGACACGAAACACATGATCTTTTTACGAAACGACTGCTGAACAGTAGTCGCTTGTATATTACCTGAGAGCACAAAAATTGCCAGAATGAGACTCTTGCTGTGAACGAAAGAATAAACGAGATTAATAACAAACCCTCTTGTCTATTTCTTTAAACCACATGAATATCAGTTCACGCGCTGTCGACGCAGGCCCCACTGCACATTCCAATTTGCGCGATTGCAATATTTGTCGCGCCCTTGCATATAAACTAGAATTTTACCTCGAAAAACTCATACGTGCGTTGTTTATCACATTTTAATAGTAAGAATATTCAGATTATATCCAGACTATATTCAGTTGTTCATCTTATTAACTGATACTGACACACTCAGCCTACCACTTCTACACTTCCACAGGTTAACGACAGCGAATGTGAAATGCAGTGTTGCTGGAAAAGTGGTGACACTCTGGAAAGTCGATCGAATTCTCAAAGTGAAGTGGATGATTACTATCACTCCGAACAATCAACAACCGATGGTTACGACTACGGAGATGGTGAAAGGTGTCAACTTTTTGATATGCTCGACGGAATGAACTGTGGTGGAACGAAGGTACTTCAGCTTTCATACCAGCTTTCTGTCTTGGTTTCTGTGTCGTCTGTGATGTAACAATGTATTGCTAGACCAATCCCACTAGCTTAGTCAACAAGAACAGTGCATTTTACCAAAGCAAAATAGTCACCCTTCAACCCAATAAACAGCATTACTTTCCTGAAATGCCTCCAGGAATACGAAGAAGCTTCAGAATACGCAATGACAAAGCTTTGTAAAATGATTCCTTGTAAGCAGTAGTAAAAATTGACGAGGAGCCTCAGCTTGAACCAGTAAGTGCACAAACACGTATCATTGAATTGCCACGGGTGAGGAAATGCATACAATTGAGCGCTGGAGAATAAAACAACTTTTCACCCGTTAAATTGGTGAGCGCGCTATCTACGCCGACCACCTCATCAGTACCAACAAGGCGAGAACAAAAAGGCACTAAATATCTGCGCTGACACGCTCAACTTTGAAAGCAAATGAAACTACCCAATGATCTAATGAAGTTGCATCTCGCACTTTTGAAGTCAGTCACATTAACACTGATTAATATTTTTGAAATCCGAAATGGCAACTTAAACATCCAATAATGGCAGAATATGAAAAATTAGGGGACCCTTAAGCTTCGCGTTTAATAGTTGAACGCAATAGCGAAATCTAGCCTCTAGTGCGCCCTTTACCCGCTCAGTGTATACTTAGTAATATGTCTTGTTACACACACACGCACACGAACGCGAGTGCGCGCAAGCGCGACGTATCTGTAGTAATGGTACAAGTTTTTGAGCTATTCACCAGCACTTTTATAACAACTTCATGAAAATATTGTACAGTGATATAGTCACATGGTCCTGTATTATGAACTGTGCGTAGGCGTGGCCCTTGTATTCGTAACTACTTGTGACACCTGTATTCACGCGCGAATGGTACATACAGGTTTTTTATATAAAGCAAGAGTCACGTGGCCTCCAAGATAGAGGCTGCGTGCTCGCCATATCGAAGGCCATAAAGAGTATCACAATGCCTCACAGATGACAGCACATTATCTAGCGTGTGCTGTTTGCTTGATCAATGCCTCTGGAAAGGCATGATATGTTTTCCGCCAGATGGGCATAGTTCTCCATTTTTCGAGCTGTTTGAAAGTTCCTGTGTGTCTTTATCGGCAATGGCTGCACTAACCCGGTACAGTGGCTAGAAATCCCGGCATTTTTTGACGTAGTGTGATGGCCTCCCAAATGCGTCTACGAATTGCCGAATGGACTCGTTTTCGTCGTGACACCTGTCAAACGAAATGCGTTAAGGAGACTCCTTTCACTACATGGCATTGATGTAGTGTTTTTCCCGAAGCACCTACGTATAACGTCGTGGATTGTTGGTAGGACACCTGCTTGCCACGTGAACGACCGGGTTGGATCCTCAGCGGAACCGTAAATTTCATTAATATTTTATTTGCATCTTTCTTGATTTTTCGCTCACACACGATTTTCCCTTCACAACCAGCAGAGCCGACGCCGACGGCGCAATTTCTGTGACACGAGCTCTCTAACGCTATCACGTTAAAAAATTGTAAATTAGAATCAAAGCAGGGCCCCTTCTAAATCCAATAATTGCAGGGAAAGTGTAAGTGGGTAGTTTGAGACGATCACTTTAGGCGCGCGAGTATTGTGTACAGGGAAATCGAATGTCTCATTCAAACCGCATGAAGGTCTTTTCCCAACAGTTTTTTCAAGAGCGAACGAGGTTGCAAGGTTTAAAGGGCCCCTAAACCACCCAGTGGTCGAAAATTTAGTTTAGGTGAGCAAGTTGTGCCCGAGCTTACAGGGAACATGTAGCCGTGAGACTTTTTCGAAACAGTGCCGTAATAGTGGAGTTACATGGGTTAGATGATCGAAGCGCCACAATGATTGATTGATTGATTGATATGTGGGGTTTAACGTCCCGAAACCACCATATGGTTATGCGAGACGCCGTAGTGGAGGGCTCCGGGAATTTCGACCACCTGGGGTTCTTTAACGTGCACCCAAATCTGAGCACGCGGGCCTAGAACATTTCCGCCTCGATCGGAAATGCAGCCGCCGCAGCCGGGACTCGATCCCGCGACCTGCGGGTCAGCAGCCGAGTACCTTAGCCACTAGACCACCGCAGTGGGGCAAGCGCCACGATGGCTTCTTCCCCTCTTTCCTACGCTACCCTCTTCCAAAACCGCTTGGCCCCTAATCGCTGAGTCAACTGAGTGTCCCTCGTCATCTCGCGTGGCATACGTCACCGCTGAAGCGCTGTTCGAGACAGCGCCCACTTCCCGTTGCCGTGATCCACCACTCCGACGCCCCAGCTCGCCGTCAACTGTGTTGTGTGTGTCATCTGGGTGCACTGATCGTTGACTAACCACTGTTGCGGTCGTGCTGGCCCGTGCCCCTACGCTAGTGACTTGGGGGTTGCGCTAAGGGCCGCAGATGTTGATTCGCAAGCGGCAACATGACCAAGTACAGCAAGGTGCGGGCGAACAGCTGTTTGCAGAGTGACCGTAAGTCATTGGTTGTCGTTCGGCCAATCGCAAGCATCGAAAGTGGTGACGTCGTCGAGTTTTACTGGTGATGTCACACATGTCCGTGGCGGGAGTGGTGGGGACCAGAAAGAAGCAGCTATTGTTTTTTTTTTCGAAATTGTGGTGCGCCTGCTACCTGTAGCGCAGCCGCATGTGGCATCGTTGATCTCGACGACATTCTGCACGTGATGCACTTGTTTGCTTGAAATATTTGGGAGGGGGTTTAGGGACCCCTTAATAAATGACGCCGCAGGATTTACCTGTGAGTGTTACGTGATGAAGCGTTGAAACTGTGTTGTCTATCAGCAATAACATGAAAAAGCGTCAGTAGGAAGAAGACACTTTTCAGTTGCTTGTGAATCAAAGCATATATACGTAGCTTCTCATATTATTACGAAACTACCTGCAAAAAACTGAGAAAAGCTGAGAAACTTTTACCACGGAACTTTGATTATTCTTTATGAGTATTTAGTATAGTGCACACCTGCGTGTGTCCCTACTGACGGTTTGGAATTCGCTAGTTGTGAAACGTAATAAGTATTGTATAACTACTGAACCACTATATTACAGTGAGAGAGTGCATATTGGACGACGTTTCATTCAACAAAAGGCAAAATGTTGAAAAAAATATGTGAACTTTGAAGACGAAATTTTTACGCATAAAGGTGTGTTTTATGTGCAAAACAGGGGAGAGGAAGGCATAAAAAATTGAGAGAAAAAGTAGGCAGGCGGTTTACTATGGCACACGTTGGAGTGTGGTACGCAGCCGAAATGTGTAAAATATATAAGTTATGCACTCAAGCTGTTTCGGACAGATTATTGCACGAATCGGTCTCGTAACGCTTGGCACACAGCACACAAAATGGCACACAAAATGGAACGCTCGCTGAACATAGTGAGACGCTTATATGTCAGCGCCCTTTTTGGCACGTTTTCAAAGAACGCGTCGTGGGCGCTTACATAATCAGCCGTGACCACCTTGCTCACAACTAAAAATGGCAGCATATCCACGGAATAAATCATGGAGAGTGGGGCGAAGCATTCGTCCGTCCATGCGTCTGTCTGTGTGACCGCCCATGCGTCTGTTCGTGCGCCCGTCCCTGCGTTCGTTAATGCATCCGCCCCTGCGTCCGTTCATGCGTCTACCCATGCATCTGTCTGTGTGTCCGTTCGTACATCT